GAGAGATGATGTGAGTCGCCAGGCCCCAGGCAGAAAGGATGTAGTGACTATTTGGAATGCAGACGGAAAGAAGAAAATGCAGGCTAGACACCTCACTGCTTCAATTAAAGAGACATATGCCTTCTTTTGTGAGATTTACCCAGAAGTACATGTGGGAAAGTCCAAGTTTGCAGAGTGTCGCCCAAAGCATGTCCTGCTTAGCCAAAAGTTGCCACATAATGTCTGTCTCTGCAGGTACCACGAGAATGCCATTAATGCTTTTACTGCACTTCACAAGGCTCAACCAGAATTCCCTGCTTACACCCGTGATCTCCCAGCTTTGCTCCTTTGCAAGCAACCATCAAGAGAGTGCTGGATGAATGAATGTGCAGAATGCAAAGATGGAGCAGGATTTAGCAAAGCCTTCTCTTTTGAGGGATCCCTTAACAGCCCTTGCTCATGGCTTCAGTGGGAGACGGATAAAGATGGACGGATGATGAAGATTCAAGAGGAGGGAACTGTAGGAGAGCTAGTACAGCACATCACTGCCATCTTACCTCAGTTCCTGCAGCACTGCTATGTAAAGCGTGAGCAAGCATCAGCATACAATGCTCAGAGGGAAAAAGTTTCTCCTGAATCACATGACACCCACAGTGCCCTCCTCCAGGTGGATTTCTCTGAAAATTTTACATGCGTTGCTCAAGATGAAGTCCAGAGCGCACATTAGAATCAACGTCAAGTATCCCTCTTCACTCTGGTACTCTGGATCTCTACATTCTCATATCCTGGCATCTGATGACCTCACACACTCCAAGGAAACCATCATAGCCTACCTTGATGTGCTGCTAGGATATCTACCAGATACGGTAACATCTATTTCTATCTGGTCAGATGGCCCAGCTTCGCAATTCAAAAATCGGTTTGTGGCAGCAGCACTCTGCACACTTCAAGAGGCTCACAAGATTCAAATCAAGTGGAACTTCTTTTCGACCTCCCATGGAAAAGGCCCCGTTGATGGTATTGGAGGGTCAGCCAAGCGCTTTGTGATGCAAAGAGTTCTGAGCCGCCAAGACATTGTAGCAGATGCAAGCAGCTTTGTTCTAGCAGCAAGCTTCATGGAGAATGTATGCGTCACAGAGGTCAAGTCAACAGAAATTGCTAAGCGGAATGAGAAGCTCAAATTGAAAGATGTTTTCATTCAGGCCAAGCCATTCACTGGCATCGGAAAGATGCATTTCCTGAAGGTCGTAAAGGATGAAGTGGTATCCCACATTCTCACAAAAGACAATAGGGCAGACAAGGATGATGTAGTGGTTACCCAAAGTGGTAGTAAGGCCATTGTAGTGGGAGATTGGTATGTGGTCGAGTACGAAGGAAAGAAATTTCCTGGTGAAGTTGTTGGGTTCACACGCAAGGGTGAGTTTCAGGTGTCAGTGATGGAGCCAGTGGGAAAGTACTGGAAATGGCCTACAAAAAAGGATGCCATTTTCTACATGGAGAGCAAGATGATTACAAAATTGGCTCCTCCAGAAGTTGTTAACAACCGTGGGCATTTCAAATTTTAGATTTGTATGGTATCAAGTAGGCCCTACATCAAATACATGCATTGGGTTATGGAATACAACCGCACATTTTTATTCTGAACTCTGTTAAACTTATCTCAACAAAAATAGTTACTTTGTGAAACCAAGTTATCATGTATTATTGACATGCATAATCCCATGGCAAATGGTGAACTTCAGAATCTAACATTTGGATAAAAAGTGTTGTAAATATGTTTGGATTGTTTCAAGTTGTGTCTGGGTAAGAGTTATAAATAACACTTACATTGATAACCATGTTAATTTACATGCAATTCCAAAGTGTATCTTTTGATTTTAAGGAAGGAGTACAGGTCTAAATCGACGGCAAATACATTCGTTAAAGAAGTTGTTAATAACCGTGGGCTTTTCAAATTTTAGATTTGTATGGTATCAAGTACATTTGTACATAAAATACATGCATTGGATTATGGAACAAAACAACACATTATCATTCTATTGTGTTATGGACTGAATATCTGCTCAATGTCTCTGTCATGATGTCATGAACTCTGTTAAAATTCTCTCAATAAAATAGTTACTATGTGAAATCAAGTTATTATGTATGTTGACATGCATAATCCCACGACAAATGGTGAACTTCAGAATGTAACATTTGGATAAAAAGTGTTGTAAATATGTTTGGATTGTTTCAAATTGTGAGTTGGAGTTATAAATAACAGTTACATTGATAACTATGTTAATTTATATGTAATTGCAAAGTGTATCTTTTGATTTTAAGGAAGGAGTAGGTTTAACACTTGCTTTTTACAACGCTTATTTCTGCATGGACAAACTGTAACGTTACCAACCGGTAACGTTACCAACCATGAATTTTGGGTCTAATAAAAAATTGAAGAGTCAAGCTGCTAAAATTATTGGCTGAAATATTTATCATGACACTAGAATTGAAATGAATACGACACTTTGTTTGAGGTATCTCGCGTTTTAGGAAACTTTTGGTCTGAAGACACTGATTTTTTTCGCATGTCCTTTTTTTGTAACGTTACCAACCAACATTAAAAGTTACCATGGCGACTCTAATATTTGTTCAATTGTATTCATTCTTTTTTATATTATAGACCTAGGGTGGGTGAACATATTGTAACATGATTGTGACTTGAAATGAATAGATGGTGATGTAGTAGTAAAATGAAATATGAAAATTTGCTTAAATGTAACGTTACCAATTGTGGAATTGCCCAGATGGAACTTCGACTGCGCGCAGTCGAAAAATGATGCCTCCGTCATAAAGCAATTTTACAAACCAAAACAGAAGAAATTTTTCAAATTCATGTTCAATTGTAATCCATTAACAGGTTCTCAGAATATCGTGATTACAAGCAATTTCTCATATACATATATGACCCTTTGATCTTTGACCTCATGACCCTAAAATCTACTCAGTTCATTGGCTCTGCAAGATGTCAGAGTTAAATAGTAAATCCATCTGTCAGTTCTAATGAGAATGCGTTCACAAGCTATTTTTGCATACATAATGAGCCCATGACCTTTGACCTTTGACCTCATGACCCAAGAATCTACTCAGTTCATTGGCTCTGCAAGATATATACATGACCAAAGTTTGGCAGGAATCCATCAATCGGTTCTTGAGATAACGCGATCACAACCTGTTTTTGCATACATAATGAGCCCTGTGACTTTTGACCTTTGACCTCGTGACCCCAAAATCTAATCAGTTCATCGGCTCTGCAAGATACAAACATGAACAAAATTTGGCAGGAATCCATCAACCGGTTCTTCATATAACACGATCACGAGCTGTTTTTGCATACATAATGAGCCCTGTGACCTTTGACCTTTGGCCTCGTGACCCCAAAATCTAATCAGTTCATCGGCTCTGCAAGATACAAACATGAACAAAATTTGGCAGGAATCCATCAACCGGTTCTTCATATAACACGATCACGAGCTGTTTTTGCATACATAATGAGCCCTGTGACCTTTGACCTTTGACCTCGTGACCCCAAAATCTAATCAGTTCATGGGCTCTGCAAGATTCATACATGACCAAAGTTTGGCAGGAATCCATCAATCGGTTCTTCAGATAACGCGATCACAAGAACGGGACGTACGGACGTACGTACGGACGGATGGACGTACGGACGGACGGACAACCGGAAAACATAATGCCTCCGGCTACTTCGTAACGGAGGCATAAAAAGCTTGTAATAACGATATTCTGAGAACCTGTTAATGGATTATAAACAAACTTGAATTTTAGAAATTGCTTCTGTTGTGGTTTGTAAAATCGCTGTTTGACGGAGGCATCATTTTTCGACTGCGCGCAGTCGAAGGTCCATCTAGTTTTTATTTATCAGCGCTACTCTGGAGCTTTCCAGAGCTCACTGCTCACGTATATTTATGCCTTCGTTGTGATCGCTTGTGATCGCGTTATCCCAAGAACTGATTGATGGATTTCTGCCAAACTTAAGTCATGTATGTATCTTGCAGAGCCAATGAATTGATCAGATTTTGGGGTCACAAGGTCAAAGATCAGAGGGCTCATTATATATGCATAAATAGCTGATGATCACATCATTAAAACCGATAGACAGATTACTATCAAATGCCGGACATGTATGTATCTTGCTGAGCCAATGAACTGATTAGATTTGGGGGTCATGAGATCAAAGGTCAAAGGTCATGGGGCTCTTTATATATGTATATGCAAAAATTAGAACCAATGGACGAATTACCATCAAACTCAAGACATGTATGTATCTTGCAAAGCCAATGAACTGATTAGATTTTATGGTCATGAGGTCAAAGATAAAAGGATCATACATGTATATGAAAAATAGCTTGTAATCACAATATTCTGAGAACCTGTTAATGGATTACAATTAAAATTGAATTTGAAAAATTGCTTCTGTTTTGGTTTGTGAAATCGCTCTATGGCGGAGGCATCATTTTCGATTGCGCACAGTCGAAGTTCCATCTAGTTTTCAGCTGAGCCACTACCCTTGGTCGGTTTCCTTTATTATACCAATTCCTTACTTCAATCCTGGACCAGACATAACCCAAAACCTAAGACCGAATTGCAACCTGTACCCCCGGGGCCAACCCTGTATCTTTTACGAAGTAAAGCAAGGAGCGATTACCATTGGAAGAAATCTCAAAGCACCGCTGCATGTGTGCATCTATGATGAGAGCAATTTCTGAATTACTTGTAATTCAAAATACTGTGGCAACATTCCTCGAGTCCAGGATTTGTATTCTGTACAACTCAAACGTGTCCACATTGTTGTTTAAACCAAGTATTCATGGCTTACATTTTCCCCTCAGATCCTGTGCTAATTTTTTTGTTGTTGGTAATTGCATTTATAAAATTGTAGAAAAAAAAAATCAATTGATGGAAAATTATCTCTGTCGGTGAATCCTTATCATCTCAACATTTTATCCCATTCTTTGTTGTAGGCATATAATTAACGACAGCCTCAGAACAGATGTATGCCTACTATACCCTCCATATTTAATTGCTTTAGGTAAGTCATCTAGCCCTAACGGCAGACTTTTTGCTCAAGAGGGGGGGGGGGGGGGGGGGGGGGGGTTAAGGAGCATTCATTTTTGTTGTACTCAGCACACCCCACGGGGGGGGGGGGGGGGGTGGAGGGGGTGTGCTGAGTAGAAAAACAAATTAATGCTCCTTACCCCCCCCCCCCCCCCCCCCCCCCCCCCCCTTCCTCTCCTCACTGAGCTTCCGGGGAAAAAACTAAATAATGCTCATTACCACAAATTATTATAATTATTATTCTATCATTATTATAAGCATAATCAACAAAGGCAGCAGTGTAGTATAGTACATGTAGAATTAGGCCTTGTAGTAGTGGTATCATTCTGATCCTACCTATTCTGATTATCTTTTGCAATACGTCTAGAGAATAAACTCATGACAATTGACAATTTGTCATGAATCATTGTCTTTAAGCTAATACCATTATATGCATCTGGCTCAAATTTTGCTTTGGTATTTGGTACTTATGATGAACGTGGTAAAAATGAGCTTGTGTCATATTCATTCTAGTTTTATTCATCTGCATTATGTTTTATTCATTCTAGTTCAATTGTTTTATGACTGTTTTCAAGACAATATCTTTTTTGTTGATCATAGATAGTTCTACAATGTATGTAGCTTGATACATGTATCTCATGGTAATTTTGAGGGAAAATCGATTGGAGTAACAATTTCTAAATTGTAACAACAATCGTTCGCCTTTGCTGCTCTTCAATACTATTTTGAAAATCAGTATTAATTAACTTTTCAAGGACTCAATGTCTTTACGATGCTCCTTGAACCAAAAACAGCTTGTATTGTTAGGCTTCATGAAAGAAATTTCAATTGTTGTTAAAAAAAAAATTGGTTGCACTCTGTAGATTATGATGATGTGTTTGATTTCGTTTTCAATAACAAGATCAGACACATGATACAAATCTACTGGGTGCATGCCATTAAGTTCTTTACAACAATAAACAAAATTGAGGCGCTATTCGGTGTGGCGTACACATGGCAATCACATGGTAGATAACTAGAACATCAGTCTAATAAATTAAAGAGAACTGAATTTGAACCCGGGCCATATGCTACCCCCCACCCCTCGCTGTCTCTTTCTCTCTCTCTCTCCCTTTCTTATTACCTCCAAAATACACATATAAAAAATATCAAAGGGGGGGTTTAACCCTCGAACCCCCCCCCCCCCCTTGTGTACGCGCCTGCTTCCATGAGTATTAACTTCACAATCAATGAAGGAACCTGTGTACGCGCCTGCTTCCATGAGTATTAACTTCACAATCAATGAAGGAACCTGTTCTTTTCAAAAGGAAAGGTGTAGTTCTTTTTTTAAATAAATTGTTCAAGCTCTCATTGTTAGATTTGCTGCCCTGAGCATTAAAGCCCCACTGCACGGTATTTGCACCCTCTATATAGCAAACAAGGCCTAATAGGTGACCGTTGGTCCCCCATGGTCCCCTTTTTCTTATGTTGATTGAGAGATGATTTGATGAGATAACCACCTGCCAGTGACCATGCAGGGAGGTCTAATTCTCCCTGGCCCAACTAGTACAGATAGGCTTTGAAGGGCATGGAATTTCTTGGAAACTACTTCTGTATTTATATTATCCATCATTTTAGAGTGAATTTTACTGCTGCTGATTCTCCAGGATTCTTATGATTATATATTGACATTGAACATTAAAGCCCCTCTGCACTAGTTTGGCATGGAGGGATTAGACCTCCCTGCAAGGTCACTGGCAGGTGGTTATCTCATCAAATCAGCCCTCAATTAACATAGGTAAAAGGGCATCATGGTGGATCAACGGGTACCGCTTAGGCATTGTTGGCTGTGCTAGAGGGCGCAGGTAGCTATAAGTAGCGTGGTGGGGCTTTAATCTTCTCTTTCTAAATGTTAATCATTTTACTTAACAACTTTTAGGATGTTTCTTTTTAAAATCTGAGCCCATTTAATACACAATTCAGCTACATGTACCTCAAGGATGGGGTCAAAATAGTACAGAGCAATCCCTGATGGAATTATTTTTTTCCCTTAAAATTCTCTCTTTTTTATACATCATTTAGCTTCCCTACACATGGCGTGTGTGATATCTCAGAATGATCATACTAAACATTGGTTTGCTGATCTCAATGTAGACCTTGACAAGGTAAGGTTTAAACTTAAATGGCAATCCAACCCTTGTATTATTAGTTCATTTGCATGAAAGCAGGAATTCCCGATTAACAGATTGGTGAAAGTTTGAATAAAATCGGACCAATCATAAGAAAGTTATGATTGTTCGAAATATGAGATCACTAAAGTCTATGCAAATCTCAAATTGGTAGTTTGGTCATTGGATTGCCACATAGTCCCGCATAACTCTGCAGTTTGTCAGGTACAAACATTTTCATTTCTGTTTTTCTCCTAAGTGCTTTCTCCGTTGGGGCACTACTCGAAATATATTATGGAAAGCTTATTATTATAGGTCCTCTAAAGAGAAAAGACCCTCCGGAGTGGCACGATTCTGAACAATTGGAATTTTAATCATTTTGTTTGATGGAACAAATGGGAAAGTTGTCCGCCACTACATCATAAAGACCATTACAGATTCATCCTATATGAAGAGCCCATACCTGCAGTCATCACAACTTTGAATAATTCATAACTTTCTCATTTTTTGTCCGATCTCATTCAAACTTTCACCAGTCTACTTCTCTGATTTTTCTGCTTTATTCCAGAGTAGTTTGCTATCAAGTTTGGATTTACCTTAAAGGCGAAATTTAGCCAACTGAGGTCCAGAATATCCATGTGAATGTTAATTCAGAAACTCATGATATGTGAAGCTTTCCTAGTCAGAAAAAAAGGTTGGGTCAGCTTACAATATCCAGTCATGCAAGTATTTTTTTAAATCACTACAATTTCCAGGTGATTTTTACATTGCTATACATGTTCATATGTGATACGTTATATGAAACATTAAACTCAAAATAAGTATATAAGTTGGCAGCAATAAAGGCAACAGTTAAGAATTTAGACAGCTTTTGAGAAGAAATGTTGGCATATTCCCATTGCTAGGGATAAGTACCTTTTTTTATGTGGGGGGGGGGGGGTACTAGATATGTGAATAGGTAATTTGTTATTCTTTTGAGAATAGGGGTACAATTATCTGACAGTGAGAGTACACCACTATCTTTCAAAAGAAAGAAAACTAACATGTTGTTTTAGTGTACTACAGCTATGGATGTGTACATGTCTTCAATTGCTACCTGTGTCGCGTTTCATCATTTTCAGATACTTGAAATCACACAGCAAATTCTAAAGCTATACGATCTATGGGAAAACTATGACGAGAAGAAAGAGATTGCCAGTGTGCTTGCAAAGGTTCCCAAGCCTCAGACCATCCCACCCCCTTCAACATCTGTTGCTACGTCAGACAGCCAATCCTCAGGAAAGGGAACAGTGTAGTCGGAGAGACAATGATTGATGCTAATAAGCGAGTTCGTAATTAGGATTTGCGCATGGGCAGATAAAGGTCATCCGTTCCCAAATTGTGAAACCATCGACAAGAATACTGGTATCGTGCTCATGAAGGTTTTGTAATCAGTATTCATTGACGCACCGACAGGACATTTATCTGATACACAGGTGGAAGTATTCTTCTCAAGAGGCAAACAAAAGGTATTCATGAAGCACCACCATCACTTCGGCAGTGATTATTCCTAAATGCAGAAGTGGGATGTATCTATAGTGTAAAAGATTTGGGGATATTTTGGGGTCATGCATTCCGAAGCTTACATGTACGAACTGGCTTATAGTCGTATGGACATTGAAAAACACTGGATGGTAATTAGTCAGGTCAGGTGTGAAGTGACTGTTGAAAAGGCAGATTGAAAATAAATGGTTATTATTCACATAGAAAGTGTTTGCTGCAAAGTCAAAGGGAAAGTGAACGTCGATTAGACAGACACTGTCCAGTGCATAGTCAAGTGGTCAGAGTTGCTTTTAAGGCATCGTTTAACAATGTTAAATCTGAGATGCACGGCCCTACTTGTTATCAGTGTCTGTGATATGGTGTAATATTGAAGCCCTAAACAAATTGCGCTTCAAAATCAAGAAGTGCCTCAAAAAAGTAAAAAATCTTTGAGTGACCGGTTTTACCATACTCGTTTTCCCCACTCGACTCTAGTGTTTTGAAAACCGTTAGGCAAACGCAAAATTTGGTTTCGATTTCCAATCATAAGTATCTTGATAATCAGACAGGAGATCGGCTTGTAAAAGTTATGGGATTCCTGACTGACCTAAAGGTTTATAATTATCATTGCAGCATGAGCTAAATCCAGGATTTTGTTTCAGAATCTGAGACAAAGTTACCGGATCCCTTTAATATGTGGACAGGCGCTACATCAAGATTAGTCAAGCAGCATCATTTTCATGCATATTAGTCGCATGGACACTGAATACTGGTAAGGAAAGTGGTCATTGTATGCTGATCGGTCAAACGTATCCTGAATGCTGATAAGTGAACACTTGTACTAATTAGTCATACATACATGTAGCCCCGCTGTTAGTTAGTCAGATAGTCACTGCATGCTGAGTTATAGTCAAAAGAATCCCGAGTACTAATTAGTAAGACACTAGTTGATGATTGGTCAATCGAAGAGCAGTTTTTCTGATGAAATATAGGAACTATTCTTTCCAATGAACAATCCCATCTCAACGCAATCATGGAAGTGAAGTTTATTTGTATTAATTGATTTCGGCGAGAGTGAACATTCACATATACTGTCAACACAAATAAAACATTATTCCATGAAGACATGTAGAGATAGATCGAGAATGATGCCCTTATTTTCAGGAATACGTGGCATGAGGCGTATGTGTAATATTTTTTTATTTTCTTGACAGATGAGTATCGGTGAGGTATAATTATATAAATCTGGGACCAACCTTTGAGAGAGGATTTGGTACCTTTGCTGAGAAAAACAAAACCCAAAAAGATAGGTAGTATTTGTTGTATCAATCTACATTTGCCACTCTTTACCCTAATGAAGTAGGACATAAATAAATGGACATACAGTACCTATACATGTACAATGTTACATTATAATTATAGGGGAGTGTGGAGAAGGACTTTACATCAATGTGATTTAAGAGTAAAAGCCTTTCTACAAATTTGTTAGTTCCTTGTCTTTTTTTGTAAGCACATTACAAAATAGAGTGACATTTCTGAATAAGCCTACAATTAATATTTTGTACATAACAAACTCACTAAAAAAAAAATCCTTCTCCATCTTCATTGGTCACCATTGTTAAAGAAAACAAGAGAATATGGTGGTAATTGTATCATTGCACCACCACCAGTCGTTAGGAGTTTCGGCCCGTTATGAACAATACTCCCTCTTGGTGGTGGGCCAACAGTTCAATGAAAGAAGACTTCTCTTTATTTTCCATCTCTTCTTTTGGCAAGACATTGATCTACATTTGCCTCTCTCAACCCAGGTGATGTAAATGGGTACCTGGCAGGAATTAATTCCTTGAAATGCTAGAGCGTTGAATGGCTGCCTTGCTACAGCCAGGGTAATAATCGGGGTAGCGCCAGGAGCGTCACAACGTGATGGATATGTGCGCTATATAAGAAGCCACCATTATTATTATTATTATTAGTAGTAGTAGTAGTAGTAGTAGTAGTAGTAGTATTGTAGCAACTTGGGTTCATATCATTATATGCCTAGATGGAATACGTGGTGTCACTACAATTCACATTTGCAAATCAACATGTTCTTATGCTTCTCCTTATCATTTATTATCACTAGGAAGGTTTTCAAATGTTGATCGTTTTAAAGCCTGTCTGTACTAGTTTGGCCAGGGGGGATTAGACATCCCTGCAAGGTCACTGACAGGTGGTTATCTCATCAAATCAGCTCTCAATTAACATAAGCAAAAGGGGATCATGGGGGACCAACAGGCACCGATTATGCATTGTTTGCTATATAGAGGGCGCAAGTAGCTATAAGTAGTGCAGTGGGGCTTTAAGTACATGTACACGTGGTAAATCTGCATATTTTTACGAGTCTCAACGCTATTGCAATCGTTACACAATAAATCATGTTTCAATCTGCTGTAGCTTTGTACTGCATGCAATTCCTACCTTACCATTGAACTATCCCACAATTTGTATGTTTGTATTACTTTGATTATTACTAAATATTATGTTTCTCGTCTGGTGTAAATATTAAATGATAGAATATGAAAGCCCTTTTTATGTCAAGATGGTATTGCATTACACATTGTATGATGGTGCTACTGTTGAAGATGCTGATGGTGATGGTGATGGCGACGATGGTGGTGATGGTGACATAACTATGTCTCTTGTCTGGTGTAAATATTGAATGATGGGATATGAAAACCATTTCATACAAAGGTAGTAATACATGTATACATTTAAAGATAAAGTTGAGTTTTGGTAATGCGATTGCAGTTTGAAAGAATCGATCAGAAGAGGTTGATCAGCTAGCATACTATTGGTGTGTACTGCAAGGTTCTGGAATCATCAAAATTATAAGAAATTTGGCCCAGTCTTGGTAAAGTTACAAGCACCTGTACACAGAAAGATGTATATGGGACTACACGAACATGTGGCATAAAAATCTGTCCCCGATTACAAGCACCTGTACACAGAAAGATGTATATGGGACTACACGAACATGTGGCATAAAAATCTGTCCCTATTTAGAATATTGAGGCATTTGAAGAGCCATGCTTTTCAGGGAACATTTTTTTTATCTGATGTTCTTCCCCATTTGCATTTGATAACGCTCACAAATTATTTTTTTCCTCTTCCCAGAACTCGACCTTCTCTTTAAGGGAATTATTTAAGTCACAATGTATGATGGTGATGTTGAGGAAGATGATTAAGATGAGGATGACGTTGATGAAAATGTTAAGTGATGACGATACTAGTGATATGAGGTGGTTGCAATTATAACCATGCAGGGTAATGGTGATGATGACTGACTGATCGGAAGAAGAGTGATGATGATCGATTGCAGTGCTTGTAATAAGGTGATATGAGGTGGTTGCAATTATAACCAGGGTAATGGTGATGATGACTGATTGATCAGAAGAGGAGTGACGATGATCGATGGCAGTGCTTATAATAAGGTGATATGAGGTGGTTGCAATTATAACCAGGGTAATGGTGATGATGACTGATTGTTCGGAAGAGGAGTGATGATGATCAATGGCAGTGCTTGTAATAAGGTGATAACAGTTGTGGTGATATGAGGTCGTTGCAATTATAACCAGTGTAATGGTGATGACTGATTGATCTGAAGAGGAGTGATGATGATCAATGGCAGTGCTTGTAATAAGGTGATAACAGTTGTGCATGATATAAGGTGGTTGCAATTATAACCAGGGTAATGGTGATGACTGATTGATCAGAAGAGGAGTGATGATGATCAATGTCAGTGCTTGTAATAAGGTGATAACAGTTGTGGTGATATAAGGTGGTTACAATTATAACCAAGGTAATGGTGATGATGACTGATTGATCAGAAGAGGAGTGATGATGATCAATGGCAGTGCTTGTAATAAGGTGATAACAGTTGTGGTGATATAAGGTGGTTACAATTATAACCAAGGTAATGGTGATGATGACTGATTGATCAGTAGAGGAGTGACGATGATCAATGACAGTGCTTGTAATAAGGTGATAACAGTTGTGGTGATATGAGGTGGTTTCAATTATAACCAGGGTTATGGTGATGATGACCGATTGATCAGAAGAGGAGTGATGATGATCAATGACAGTGCTTGTAATAAGGTGATAACAGTTGTGGTGATATGAGGTGGTTTCAATTATAACCAGGGTAATGGTGATGATGACTGATTGATCAGAAGAGGAGTGATGGTGATCAATGGCAGTGCTTGTAATAAGGCATTGGCGGATCCAGGGGTGGGCCGAAACGGCCGCGGCCCCCCCCCCCCTATTGGCGGCGCAAAAAAATTGAGATGGAAAAAAAGAGGAAGAAAAAAAGAAAGAAAAAAAGAAAGAAAAAAAAAGGGGGAAAAAAGGAGAAGATAAAAGAAAAGAGAAGAAAAAAGAAAAGAAAAGAGAGAGAGTTCAAAAAAGAGGAAAGAAAAAGAAGAGAGGAGCCGGGGAGAAAGAAAGACAACGAAATGGCACTAAAAATGAGTGACAGTAACGACGAATAAGGGAAAGACAAGGGGAAGGGGGGGGGTGCGTGAAGGCGGATGCATTGAGGAGAGGGGGGGGAGGGGTGACTGGTCGTATTCTTATTTTTAGGTTATGCGAAACTGAGTCGGAATTATGCTTCTTTTCAAAAAAATCTTACCATGCTTGTTTATGTTAAGCCGTAGTGCATGAAAAGGTTAGAGTAGAAACACTTCTGAAAAGGCCGCGCCCGCCGGCCGGCCCCTCCAAAGAACGGCAGAATGGTAATCTATAAATTATTGGGTCATTCTTGATGGCTTGGGAGTCGTTATTAAGGAGGGGGCCGGCCCTACTCAAAGGGTAGTGACGGTAACGATGGATAAGGGAATAAGGAGGAAAGGGATGCACATGCAGGCGCGTACGCAAGGGGGGGGGTCGAACCCCCCCCCCCCCTCAAATTTGTGTCAAGTTGTCAAGTTGGTCCTGATGTGTATAATGCGTAGACCAGGGGTTCTCAAACTTTTTCTTTGACGGTCCAGAAGCGATTTCTATGAAAGCTGTAAGGTCCGAAATGACACTTGTATACTGAAGATAATGAGGCTTGTTTTTGGTCTATATCTGATCCAAGAAGAATTGTTAAAGTTTTAAAAAAAACAGAACCGCCAGTGCTTCCACTCGTTTAAATAAAGTTTCCTGAAAAATAACACCCAATATCCTGGAATTTGAAGGAATTTTCTTAAAACTTTCAAAATGCCTCTTACGTGGATTTCTTTTTTGGATGAATCGCTATGACGTTTTAATATATATTATTTATTGAGTGGGCTTATTTTGCTTTCGAATGGATCCATACAACATGGCAGAGCTTGAGGGGCCTGGCAGAGCCTTTTCAAGAGAGAAATTGTCTTTAGAAATTGTCTTTTAAATTC